GATCATACACTTAATGAGCAACTAACTCCTTTGTTTCTATTGTATGCAATTCGATTAAAACTAATTTCCAAATGCTTCTCATAATATTTAACTTGTTTGCTTCATTCAGATCCGACGATACCGGTACGTCCAGTGAACGAAAAGCGTTTTAAATTGAAAGGTACCGGTAACCGACTTATCTATAAAAACACATTGTTGTATTTTTTTTACTTGAGTTTATGTTTATCGTAATCATCTTAAATCATAACTATAGTGTCATTTTATCAGTCATGGGCTTTGCATTGATCAATCTATTATATCGTTCAATTACATTTTTGCGTGTTTGATTATTATTTTGTCTCCTTCACTTCGTATTATTGCTATTGTATTCGAAACACAGCATTCTAGTCTGTCGATAGTCTTGGTCCAAAATTAGTGGTTTTGTTTCTCATTAATGAATAAAGTAAACTTAACCTGAAAATGATTGTTAATTATAATAATCATAATGATCTTGTTTGATGATATCTTTTCAACAGCTGACGTTGATATTCGGGATGTCTATTGGTTCTTGGCTCAAAAGATTCCTCATGAAATTAAGGAGCGTTTCTATCATTGTCTTCGTTTGGAACAGTGTTTGATTGATGATGTCAAATATGCAAATAACGAAGGTTTGACTACTGAAAAATACAAAGTGCTGCTACAATGGCAGCTAACTAAAGGCAAATCGGCGACATTAGAAGTTCTTATGGGCATAATGGATTCACTAAATCTACGACATGTTAAGGAGACACTGGTTTCTGAGTTCTGTCAAGTATCACACTCCACCTGGGTTTGAACTGATCACTTGTTAATTGTTCATTTATACAACTTAACTTTTGTATTTCATTCCGGTAGCAAGGTTGAATGCAATGAATCTCCATGTTGTACCTGATGTCTTTGCAAACAACTTGACAATACTTCACATCTGCTAACTTCAAGATCTTGTGTCCAGGGCACTTGAGGATTGCTCAGGTTTTATCAATGTAACATTTGCATTCAAATCGCAATTATGTTGTTGTGCGACAATAATATAATTTTTTTCAATACAATAAACTTTTTAATGTTGGTGAGTCGAATGGCCGAGTGGTTAGCAGGGACGCCGCAAGTTATAGCCATAATATCGGCGCTGGTTCGAACGGCACGCTTGCCTGGTTCTGGTGGTAGAACAAGTCTTCTCGGATAGGGACTATAAACCGTAGGCCCAGTGTATACAATGGCTCGTGTGCACTATAAAGAACCCAGTACATCCTTCGAGACGAGTAGGGGTTACCCCGGTGTACTGGAACAGACAGCCCCTATGGTGGACGACGAGAGTTGCTGGTACCGGGTTACCGGGTAGCACAGACACGAAGGGAACCTTAGGGGCGAAGAAAGTCATTGGTCGAGTTCCTAGTCTACATTTCAAGCGCCCTGAGCATCTTACATTAGATGGATATGTGCGCTATATAAAACTACACTATTATTATTGTTTGAATAATGATGCAATCTATGCTGTACAAGAAGAAAAGTACTGGAGAGATATCATAAGGAAGCGCTTCCAATCGAAGAGTGTTGATGCTATTTAATAATCTTTATTATAATTATTATTATCATCATCATCATCATCATCATCATCATCATCATCATCATCATCATTATTATTATTATCATTATTATTATTATTATTATTATTAATATTAGTGCCTAATATTATATTTATACTGAAAGCGTAACAACATAAAATTGTCATTTACTAAACTGACATATCACTCTGTTGAACTTACCGATTTAAATTATCTTTATATTACTGATTTTTTTTCTCTGCATGAATTATTGAAACGTTTATAATTTCTGTTTCTTATTTTTAACCAACATACACTATAAACCCTTTATTTATATCTGAAAGTTCATTAAATTTTAAAGTAAAATGTATTTAAATTATCTTTTTAGAACATTGACTTATTGAAAGCTTATAATTTGTGTGTGTGTTTTTTTTTTTAAATTAGTAATTCAAAGTTTTGTTTGAATTAGTTTTCATAACTGCTTGGGTGGCAAAAATGAGTTAAATGAAAATTTTTTATTACATGTTTTCAACATAATTAGATTATTGCTACTAAATACTATGCTAATTGGTCATTATATTTATAGATGTAGGCCACCCTATTGGAAAAAATCGCCTTTACCGTGAATGTGTTTGGGGTGCCTTTATCGATAAATTGATTATATACATATGTATATTCAGGTATTAAATACACATACTGTACTGTATATGTATATTAAGTACCTGGATATACATATTATAGAGTACAGTCAGGAAACAGTTAAATCATTAATTAATTTTACTGTTCCCTGGTACAGTATAATGATTTTGTAAGAACGCTCAGAATAATATCACGGGTCAAATAAATAGAACATGACTTCCTTCCATAACCTTTAAAATTATATTACTTGATTTGAGATAATTACTAGTAAAATATTGTTGAAATAAATAAATAAATAAATATTGCGCCTCTTCCTTGGTTATAAAGCACACTACATTTCCCTGGTCATTGAGACCAAATGATTTAAGTGTTGCTGCTGGTAACTGGTAAACAGCGCAGGAGCAGGCAACCCCACCAGGTACCCATTTACACTCCTGGATGGAGAGAAGCAATGAAAGTGTCTTGCTGAAGGACGCAAGCGAAATGTACAGAGAGGGATTGAAACCACCAGGTTGGGAAAATTGTTCGCGCTTGTTTTGTAGAAGCAGCTTATTTGAATATAAGAAGAAAAATAAGAAATCAAATAACTAAGAATATTCATTTGTGAACTTAATTTGCGTGTTTTTTTCAATTAACATAATAATAATAATAATAATAATAATAATAATAATAATAATAATAATAATAATAATAATAATAATAACAAACAAAAACAAACAAATAACAATAACAATAACAACAACAACAACAACAACAACAATAATAATAATAATAATAATAATAATAATAATAATAATAATAATAATAATAATAATAATAATAA